ACACACTCCTTGCATTTTTTAACCTGATAATCTCTAATTATTCTGGCTCAGAATTCCATTGAAACGGGATGCAGAGGCATTTTACAAATGTTGTTCTTTATTTTAATATTGTCCCATTTAAAAGGAAAATATTTCAGATAATAACAACTTTTTTTGAAGGAAAAAAACCTCATGAAAACCATTTCTGTTCCAAAAATTGCTGATATGAGAACTTAGGGGAAACAGCTCCTTTTATGAATAATTATTATTATTGTGTTTAAGAAATGGGCAAGATGCCTAGAAATTGAATGAAAGAATGAGCTATTAAATTGAAATATTAAATGAAATAACTGAATTAAAAGTGATCATGTAAACCCTGCAGTAAATGTTGGGAGCTGTAGCTGATTGAACATATTTTCATCATCTGTTTTGTATGCTTAAATACAATTGCTTGATGTAAGTAAACACTTGATTGATATTCTGAATACTTTAAAATCTGCATATGCATCACAGAATACTGAACAATTAAAACTTAATTTCAGTGTAGTTTGATTACATGTAAATTATTTCAATATTCATTTTTTCCTGTTCTGTTTGCTCCGTGCATATTTAATATTCACTTTTTGAATGCATATCACCCTTGATTGGACTGTGAGATGAGGAGGACTCTGAAATTTCTTCCATTAAAAAAGATTGGCTTATAAATATTATTTGTGCCACAGCTTTTCCCCTGCAGATTATTTTCTAAATGTTGTGTACCCTTATTGAAGACAAGGAAAAAAACCTGCTGCAGCCCTCCTTTATCAGCCCAGCACAAGGAATATGCTTACATGGTCGATGGGCATGTCTAAGAAGGCTTGTTGGTTGTAACTAGTCCCTAAAGAAATGTTTCCATCTTTTCTGCACTGTATTTCTCTCTTGCTTGCATGAGCTCTCTCTCCCTTCCCTTCCTCCTCCCTCCACATGATTCTTTTTTTCTGGTTCCTGGATTTCTTAGTAGGTGTTTTAATATTATGGGTAAATATTACCAGTATTTTCAAGTTGACCATTTTCAGTCTGAAAAATGTATCTCTATCTTTAAGTGACCGCATTCAATTTAGGTGTTGTGGAATACAGATGAAAAAATTCTCCTTTTTGACATATCTGTAGAAGCTCTTGTAAAAACTAAAGAGACTTCTTTTCCATTCTCTGCAAGCTGCAATTTGTGCACATTGTTTTGATCTATGGTATTTGTAATCACCTTATTTCTGAACATCCAACAGGAGGAAAACCTGGCCATTTGATTCGCTTTTTATTTATGCCAGTGAAAAGAATAACCTCTCTGGAGTTAGTAGATAATATTTAATTTTTTATTACTTATATATTTTATTTAAAAATAAATGCTTTCCTGGCATCTTTTCAGTTAAGCCACATTCTCAAAATACAAGCAGGCAGCGGGTCTGCCACTCCATCATGGAAAGCAGGTCTGGATTCTTCTCTGCCTCAACTGTTTTTGACCTGCATAACCCTTGTCATATCACCCACATTTCCCCTTGTTTCCTTGTGCATACAACAGATATACTAATAGTCATCTTTTTAAATTTTTGCAGGATACATAGAAAGGTTGCCTAAGTGCATATAATAACAGTATTATTTTATTATGTGAGAATTTGAACTTAATATTGTATGTGCTAAACAGCTTGCAGGGAAATGTTTTCCTATCTGTCCTAGATAGTTAGTTTTCAATCTGTCCTAGTTGAGTGTTTTAATCTTGAAGGTCATATTTCTGTTGGCTGTCACTTTGACCAAACGAGTGGCTGAACTTCATGGTTTACAGGCAGATTTCGTTATCTCTCTTTTTCAAGAGACATATAAGTCTCGATTGCTGGAGTTATTGTGAAGCAAGCAATAAGTAACAAAGTGGAGGGAGGGGCGGGAGGACGCTCGCTTCAAGACCGGTACCCTGTAGATGCCATTTTTAGAAAGCAAATATTGTATCTTGTAATTGTAGCACAAGAACAAAAGGAAGGGTGTTTTGCTTGAGGGTTTTTTTGTTTGTTTGAGGAGCTGATAAACTGTAAGTGAAGTGTGCTAGCAATGGCAAGGCTTCCCATGACAAAATCCTTGTAAAACAGACATTATTAACTTGAAGTTGGTCTCATGCTGGACAGAATTCTCTCTCTAATTGTTCCTGTAGAATAAAAAGAACACAACATCTATGCTAAAGAGTCTCAAAATAACAAGTATCTTCTAGTAAAGCTAATTTTAAAAAACCCCTGGACATTCTTGACTGATTTAATACTGTTTGCCTAAGTAATGCAAACTTGTCACTCTTGTTTGAAACCTCCACCTTATTTTAAAGCAATTCCGTTTATAATAATTTATGAAGTATCTGTGATTGTTATTTCCAGCTCTCTTGGTTTGTGAAGAGTGTTTCTTGGATAGTCTTCCCCTCCCCTCCTTTTTTTTTTCCTCAGTACAGATCTGAATATAATGAGCTAACTTCACAGTTTTATGACTAGGGGCCATAATGAGACTGAAGTTTGTATGTTGATTAAAGGAAAGAAATTTAAATCTTTCTGAAACAGCAAAGAAATGACAGCTTTAAGGCCATGATTCTGTTCTGCAGGTCAATCAACGAAAAAGTTACTTAATATTTTTTGGTTGCAGGCATTTTTGGCTTGGCTAAAGCAAATGTCATTCAAATACTCTGTATAGTTATAACTTTGGAAAAACAAAATAATGATGCAGACATTCTTTTTAGCTAGTCATATAGCCGGTTTCTGTTTGGTTTCCAATTTCCCATCTAAGTACTAGGAATGTATATTTAATCCATAATATGTGCCAGAAAAATATATACATTATAGCTATTCAAGATACACATATTTTAACATGTACTTATTTGTCTTAATTAAACATAGCTTCAGAAGCAGCATTACAATGCAATGTATTTTAATGGAAAATCCTTCATAGAAAGCATGTGGAAAAGCTTCAGATACATAGATGTGCGTGATAAAACAGTGGTGCACTGTCTGTTCCCCAGTGATCAAGAGGTTAACCTTAATTCATCTCGTCCCCTCCCTTAAACAGGTTCTGTGAGGAGGGCTGCAAATTAGTGCTTAGAAGACAGAGCAGGGAGATTAGCTTTAGGGAGGAAAGGACTCCCCATTCCAGCTCTTAGGAACCTCACCAGGAAAGTGCATTTCCTTTTCTACTTAAGCTCACATATTATGCCTTCTTGTCACAAATGTTATTCCTTGAGGAAAAGTCCTTTCTGGCTCTATCTCGCAATCTGCTGAATCATTCCAAGTGTGTGGTAGAAGAGAGCGACTATAGCAAGAGCCAGGCAGAAAACTGCTTAGGCTTTGGCCAGAAACAGGAATCCCAATATGGTACTTCACATGGGGATGTACACCAAGGTGAAGGAGGATTCCCATGTTTCCTCTTGTTCACATTGGCCTGAGGAAGAGCTACAGCACTGCCCGTTGTTTCCTAAGATACCCTCAGGCTACAGAACTGCATAAACCCTGGCATCCATATGATGCTGTCTGATGATATTCATTGGGCAAACACAAACTGCACCTTTCCAACACTGAGAAATCACAATGCTGCTTTTTCCCCACCAGGGCAGAGAAGTCGTCTCCTTCCCAAACTTCAAGCATCTACCACTGATCTATTGCTGAATTTGTTAACAGATGAAAAGGGGAAAACTTAACCAGTAATGCGAAAAATACAGAAATCATTCTATATGGAATCGACCTTTTACTTCACAACTGAAATAAAATTGGAGTATTTTGTTGGTTTGCATATCTAAAAATAATCACCGAATCTATTTGTGCAGGTATTTTTGAACCATTTAGAATGTGCAGTAGAAGAAAATATGTACAAAGAGAATCACTTCCTCAGAGTACAGTGATTGTCACATAATGGTTACTTACAACTAGTAGAAGAGAGGCGTTCGCCCAATGCAGAATTTCCCTTTGTGATTAGTGTTTGCCAGCGCAATATGGTATATATTCTCAGAAAGCTGCTGATGGATGGCTTGTTCCCTCCCACTTCTGTGGAATTCCCAAGCTCTGCAAACAGGAGGATATATATAGCCTTCCATGGTATCTCCATCCCATGTATTTGCAGTAATTGCCAGGAGATGGTATATGGTCTCTGGGTAAGAAGAAGGTGGCAGTCTGTGTCATTGCAAAAGGAAGGAGCTGTTGTTCAGCAAGCCCTCAACCACCAAATTAATGGTCTTAGTGTGCCGTGGTACAGCCCTCTGGGGTTAACCTCACCTTTAGGTGAAGTTCCACATCCACACTGCTCCCTTCCTACTTTACTGCATCTCTAGGTGATACTCAGGTGGTGCCTTCTAGAGCACATTTAGAGGTAGTTTTTGCTTGTGAATTTTGTTCTTTTTCCCCTTGTTTTACCTCATTGACACAATCTTCCTCACCATAGGATCTTCAGAAAACTTAGCAGCCTGTGTTCATGCTGAGCTGAGAGAGTTAGGAGGAAAAGCAGTGTCACCACCTACCTTTTTCAGTCCCTGGAGATTCATGACTGTTTAGCATGACTTGACTGGATTATCATCTTCAGAGAAAGCTGTATTGAAGGGTCTGTGAGGACAAAACTCAATGCGAACTTCTACAAGGACTTCTGAAGTCTTAGGAGATTTGGGGTTAGTCTCTTCCGTAGGGGATTTTGAGGCTCCTACCAATATTATTGGGGCCAACATTTATCTATGTTGCAGCTAATATCTTTCAAAGGATTGATTTGTTATGATCTACAATACCTTCAGTTCCCTTCAGATTCCACTAAGTCTGATGGGACTCAACACTTGCTGAAGGTTTTAAGCGATGAAGGAGGTTAAGGGTAGTCACTGTCCTACCTCATAGTTCTGCAATCTGAGTATGAGCATATTAAGTTTCCCCAGTAAAGCTTTGGCATCACTTTTGATGAGAATTGAAGGACTTCATCTGCCCGTTAACAAAATTTGATGCAGCTCTTAAATTATCCTCAGCGAGTGACATGTTTCCTTTTTCTTGCAGGTATCAGAGATTTGAAAAAGCATTTCTGCTAGCTGTTGACATAGGTGCTCGGGACCTGTTTATGGTGAGTAATTTCTGGAGACAGAGGCTGTTGTCAGGATGTTAGTTGTCAGCTTTTGTGCACAGCAAAATGGATCTGTGTCATTTGCAGTCTTAGACACATGCTGAAGACAGAACTGTTCTACCTGGTTTGCCCTTTGCCATCATGCAACTCGTCAATAGGAACTGACTATCTTTAGAGTCGTTGACATTTTCCCTAGCATGGCCTAAAGGCTTTTCTTTATTTTCCAGGAATTAAGGTATACGTTTTTGAACTTTCCCCTTCTTCATCTCTCCTGATGTGGGTGAATGTCATCTTTTGCTCTAATAAGCTTATACATTTCTAATCCATTCCTTTAAGAAGTACAACTGCTGAGTCCTGGACACAAGAGCTGGCCATATCCTGGGGATCCTGAATGCTCTTAGTTTGTCTCTTAGGGCTTTGTGAAAAGTGTCAAATTATGAACGCTTCTACAGGTACTTTTAAAACAACAAAGCTCAGCAGCATCAACACAAGGGGTTTTACGTTTCATGCACTCTCTGCCCCCTCCCATTTAATTAGCTACAGAAGTAAAATTAACCAGCTCTTTAAAGGTCCTCTGTGTGAGCTCTGCAGGAGGCTCTTGTTTTATAAGATCTTGCAGCACAATGTCAGAGTGAGGTCAGATGGACAAAGCCAGTCGTGCTTTCCTAGTCTCTCAGCATGTTGCTGCTCCACAGCTGATTTCATTGTTTTCAAAGAAACAATAGGAAAGGGGCTTGTTGAAAAAAAGGCCCTTTGATGGATTCGTTTGCTTGACTCTTTTGCATAATGAAGACATTCTGTTGTTTAAATTAAGCTTTGACACTAGATGTTAATATCATTTATCCCATTAAGTCACTTGCCCTGCTAGTTCAATCTTGATATTTAAATTGTATGTTAAATTACACAATTAAATCCTGCTTTTATGAGTTATGAAAATTCCCTTCTAATTATATAAAAAGTTGTGTGAACCTTTTGATGTTTTTTTCACGGTTCTAATCATCTGGCTTGTTCCATCTAATTAGAAAGATGTGAATGCTGCGATAAACTTTTCTAAGTATGCATCAAAAGAATGTGATGGAAATGTCAGACTTTTAGGAAATCCATTGCGTGTTTTATGTTTACTCTCCTCAGTTTTTCCTCTTTTTAGCTCATGTTTTTCCTTTTCTCTTTTTATTGAATTTGACTTCTTCAATACAAATTTTATACCTAATCAAGCTAAGCACTGCTGCAGCCACGTGTAAGATTCAGATTGTAGCATGTCTGCAGGAGGTTACAGCTTTTTGTTGGGGGCTCTCCCACTGCAGAGATAATAAATTCTTCCTGAGTAATTTCATCCATTCTGGCAGAACAAATGACCCAGCATTTGGCCTGCCATCCCGAGGGCCCTGTCTCATATGGCTGAGAACATTACCTACATGATCTTTTTTTCTTTTCTTTCCTGCGCTGACAGCAGGACTGAGGGAGCATCTCTGTCCCAGGGTGGAGAACACCAGTGTTGGGTCAAGAGGTGGGTGCTATGGCTGCTAACGAGAGGGAGGGACTGTCACTACCTGGCTCCACAAGTGGTCACACGTCTGCCTCTCAACAAAAAAAGTTCTCCAGCTTCCTTCAAGAGGAGTTTCAATGTTCACAGAGAAATTAGGTCCATCCTCTCCTACTTCCCTTTACTCTCATAACATCTACTCTCCATTTCCCATCTCACCAATGCTCTTAAACATAAATACATATTTCCACATAGTTCCTCCTGGCTTACATTACTGCGAGATCAAAACCAGTTCTATATTGTCCTTGTTCTGCTTGCATTACCTTTGAGATTCCTCATAGTTTCCCATAAATTATGCAACAAGCAGCACACACACCTGCCTCTTTGAATCCTCTGTTAACTCGCTGCCTCCTCTGGGGAAATGTCCTTTTGCTAATTCATCTCCTAAGTAATGTACTAATCAACAAACTTTACAGTTAGCTAACAATGGCACTGCTGCAACACTACTAAGTACAGGACTCAAGAAGTTTAAAGGTGCATAGGTCATAAAAAGTGTTTATTTGTGCCATGGTAATTTCTAGGGAATTGGGCTTCATTGCACTAAATACAGTGTGAAAATTAGATAACCTCTTCTCTGAAAGCTTGCAGTCCTTCTATGTGTTGGTATAACAAAACTATTGCTCAGCAAAGTTTGTACTTCCCTCACTTCTGCTTAACACTAAATACTTTGTATATATTGTTTATATAGGTCAAAATGCAATTAATAACATACAACTTGACTTTATTTAAAGCATTTATGGTTATGTGCAGTGTGAATAACTAATATATAGGCCAATTATTTGTGCTGTTGTTTTACAGCCCAAGGAAAGCCATTTGTAAAACCTCATATGGCTCTAGGAGTCACACCACCTTATTCCAAATTAACTTAATGGATTTTCAAGAAAAAACAGTAGACTAAAGAAACGCATCTGACGACATAAGCGAAATGAGAAAGGAAAAATCTATTTATCAAAGGGGAACAGAGAAGGAACAAAACAGGAAAGGATAGAGAGAAGCAGGTATAACAGAGGCTGAGGAGGATCCAAAGTTGAATACTCATCTTCTGAGACTTCTAAGAAAATGTCCTATGTCTTGAAGAATTAATCCTGAGCATCTCTTTCACCAACCAGGGCTCTGCAGCTTCCTGTTATTTGTTTTGAGATTGCAGAGAAGTTTGAGAGAGTGCTATCTGAGGGCTGGTTTCTTTCATAGAAATGAAAAAGAAAAAAAAAGGCTTAAAAGTTAGTCCTGTAGCTATAGCGTCACTAGTATGATGCCATAACAAGACACATGCACACTGCTGTGTCTCTCCATAAGCTTTACCCTCACGTCACATCTGAGCCCATCAATTATTATCATCTCCTACAGAGTTCAATAAAAAAATAAAACTGAAAAGGACCTAATATCGTGAACAACAGCTGCATTTATTGGACAGTGACTGATCCAATCTGTGACAGAAAAGATCAAGCAATAGAAGGGTTGTTAGCTTGAAATCCTTTTGTAGTATGCTCCAGCTCTCAGCTGCTGAAAATTCAAAAGGCCATCCCACGTACCAAAGGTAGCAAAAAATGCAAGGAAAAGACACTTTAATAAAACTGTCAGATCTTGGGTGATACACTGATGAGGAAAGTGCCTGTTTCGAAGAAACATTGGAATTTTGCCCAGAAATATCCTATAGACAACTGCACATCAGTGTTTCAAATGACTTCTCACTGAGGGCCAGCTCTGTGAGTCACAAAGATGAGGGTAAAAAGGAAGTAGTCAAAAAAGTAATCAAACTGTTAAATGATAAAATACAGCCCTTTCAGCAAACTCCTGATATTGTCACCATTGTTTTTGAGAGGGACGTGATCTTTAGACTGATAAATTCTTAGATAAGTGTGTGAAAAAGCCTGCAATGAATCTTCAGCTAATTTGTTCTTTTTTTTTTTTTCTGTCATTCTTTAAGGCACCCTCTAATCCAGTGCTTCTTCTTTCTCTTTTATTTTTTTCTAGTTTTATTCTACTCAGAGAGTTATACATTCTTAGAAAAATCCAATTTTTCTGGCTTATTTGAATGAGGAACACCTAAATTTGATCTGAAATTGTCTAATTAGAGGTTTTTATATCTGTAATCTTTTCTTTCTAAAGCTTGTTTAGAGATAGAGACAAGAGCTACTTTTTATTTTTTTAGTTCTTTGTGACAGCAGCTTGAGGAAGCATGAAGAAAGCTGCTTACCAGCCTGCTGCTTTGTCTTTATTTCTTACAAAGCCCCTGTTAGTTAGCAATGGATATGCAGCATCTTTACATTTCTTTACTCAAAACAGAAAACATGGGCAAAAACAAGATCTGAAAGTAACAGATGTTTTGATACACATAGCACACACAACCTCTTCACTGAAAGAACTTGGTCACTTTCTGCAGTTGTTTCCATCCCCTCCCCAAGTTTGTTATTTAAAATTGTGTTGAAGTATACAACACTTCTGTTTTAGTTTAAACTACAAAAAGACAGTTGTTAAGCATAGTCAGAGTGTATTTTAAATTAGTGAGCGCAATCTGCCTTTACATTCAAATCTTTTTAAGTTCAGACTTGTTCAAGAGCCCTTAGGTTTTCTGTTGTTATCTAAATAAGCTGACAATATCTGCTGTTTAATCTTCATAGAAATCATACCTTGCTACTCAGGTCCTTTTCTCCTGACAACCATGTTAGACCTACAAAGAAAGGAAGTACAGAGTTCGCAACAAGTTCGTAACTTTGCTCCAAGACACTTGTACGTTTTTTTAGTCACACCTGTGGTTGTAATTAGAAAATGTTGCCGTCTCCTGCAGACTGTTGGGATCCTACAAGTCAGTACCAGGTTGTCCTGTGTCATCAGTCTCAGTTTCCCTAACATTCTCAGTTTGCATCTTTTTTTATTTTATTTTTTTATTATTATTATATGAGGGGATAATAAAAGCAGCATCTTTTTCTCCTAGCATTATTACTCTCACTTTTTTTCATCTAGCTTCAGTTTCTAGAGTAAGATCAATTTTTCCTGTAAGACTTTCTGTCATTGATGAAGGTGGCAGTAACTCACGCTGAGAAGGACAGTTTCACCTGAAATCTTCTGCGTTAGTGAGAATATAGTTGCTTGTATGGTATGCAGGGGTCAATATTTCCAGCAAATAGTCCTATTCCCTTTAAATTCCTGCATGCAGATAGTTTGCAGAAGAATGGCCAGGAATGACTTAAATCTTTGGATACCAAATTGTATCTTTGGCAAAGAAGCAGGGGGAAAAAAACTTTGCCAACTGTTCTTGGGTTTCCCTCACTTCATATGTCTCAGTTCATGCACAGAGCAGCCTGTGGCCATGATGCCAAAGGAGAAGGGGGTTAATTATCTCTTTATTAATGGTCAAGGATGAAACTTTACTTCAAGGGCCAAAGCCAAAGGCAGTGAGACTGTCATTCGTCAGC